GATGGAATTATGTGAGTCACCTGAACTGAGCTTCAGTACGAACCTACGTCGGTTATGGGCTTCAAGGATTGCTTGTCGCATTTTTTGACTCATAAAATTGTACTCACAATTTTCTGGTGCATCTGAAATGCAGTTGTTAGCTCATTTCGAGCGCTGCCCTGTCAGAATAGCTATCAAAAGCAGCGTTATTGCGTCTCTTTTGTGTCGTCCAGATGAATGTACACATGAGCACGATTGGCTCGTGCTCGCCAATTTCTACGTAGGAGAACCAACGTAGGAGAACTCTGAGCGCTCTTCCAGTAAAGAGGAGGCATCTGGCGTAATGATTTGTGTCTCAAGTCAGGTTTATGAAACACGCAACATTATACGAACATAATACGAACTTTCTCCGCAGCGTAGAGCAAAAGGCTCGTATTTCCTGTGTATTTCACGATTTTTTTTCCTTTTTTCTCCACTGGCGGTCCACCTCCCACCCCTATTCACATTTGAGTAGAATTACCTCACCCATTTGAGCCTGAATCTTGCCTTTAAGGTTTCATCAAACCTGACTGAATGTACTACGAACCATGCCAAGATTTACTGATAGTCGAACATGGATAGTGAACTGTGTCTAATTTATTGCAGGGAAGCAAGTCTGAGTTGCGTGTGAAAGTGGTAGGGAATTGGTTCACATTTAACTTCCAGGCTTCCTGTTTCTGAATTGGATTACTTTGGCGGCCTATAGCATCCCCCTACTGGAACAGCGCCAACTTCTGTCTAATCAAAAGCAAACCTTGAGCAATGACCTGCACCACGCTGTTGAGTTGGAATGCCTGAAATTACCAGAGTTTTCCATTGATGGCTCACGATGATGAGCAAGGCGCGTTATTTTCAATACGCGTACCAAGAGCAGGTAGCCGACGAGCATGTTGAGCATTACAGATTACAGATTACAGAAGGCTGGCTGCGAAATTGTCATCTGTTTGTCCCACATTTATTGCCGTCAAATGGCACATCGTTCTCTGTGGTTGCACTTTTTGCAATATTATAAAATTTGTTCACGAAGTATTTGAAATCCGATTGTTTACGTCATCGTAGCATCACCGGCCTCACAGCAGGGTCAACCGTGCGTTCGCACTACACTATTCGAACGAGGAGGTCGTATTGTAGTGGGTTTTGGAAGGGGGTCGCCTCAAGGGTTGGATTAGTAATTAGTTGAGTGGAGGGAGTAAATTTGTAAAATTGCCGTTTCCTTGCTACCCCCACCTCCCTCTACTCGAAGCCTTTTTGTGGGGGGAAAGGAAAAGTGGGCGGAGTTGGGCTGTGTCGACTGGTCTCAGAATCAAATACTATAGAAACAGCCATGATGGCGAGGGTGGTGGTCGGGGTAGGCTAGGCAGGGTTGTATTGGGGAGCCTCCTGAGTCTCATGGTGGTGGGGGGGTCGCATCGAGACCCCCTAAAGGAGGGGGTCGCGAAATTTTTCGTAAAGTGGTTGACCCTGCCTCAGTGTTGAAAGAGTCATTGCTGCCACGTAGCGCAAATAAAGCACAGTACTACGAATAGAAAGGAAGCCGTGAATCAAATGTGGTGTTCCAAACATCCGCACATCGTCCGATCGTTCTCAGCTCAGTTCCGCTATGACCATAGCATTGGCAGCACGGCAATGATTTCCCTTGTGATTCCAACAGAAAGGAATCATAAGTTCGGTGCTGAAATCGATGTTTTTCGGAATCCTTGAATCAAAGTTTGTGGGATAGATCGACGACGCGCAATTCAGAGCCGCGGAAGTGCCAAGAGCCTGCCTCCCCTAGAGTAAAAAGGAAGGACATCAGCACAATTAATTGGGATATTGTTCCAAACAAAAATGGCGGCAAGATCGCCAAGAGCGTGCCTTGTCCGTTTCCAGCGCTGTTGTCCTTATCAAAGTCGCAGACATCGCGGCGCAGTGCGCTCTCCTCCCGCGTTCCGATACACTCTCTCCCTCCCTCGTGTTTTCGCTCTCTTCGGCATTGCGCTCTCCGTTACACCACGGCTGATTTCACAAAAGAAATTTTAGTGTTTTCTATGGCGCTTTTTGCTTTCTCTCCCTTTTCTTCATCTCGCTTCCTGCTGCCCATTTCGGAGCAAATTACACCCCCATCGATCCCCAAATCCGTTCCCTTTAATCCTTTTTCAGAGTAATGGAAAATGCCCATCAGGAAAACTGTGGTATTTGTTCTCTTAGGCGAACCTTCAGTAACCTCCACCAGGAATGTTACTTTAAAGGCACAACCCAGGCAGAGGTCGTGTGAACGCTTCTCTTCGGTCAGAAGTATAGAACCCTAGGGGACAATCACAAATGTGGCGTTCACGTGCACGGAATTCGACCGACAAGAACGCTTGGGCTTGCAAAGTAAGCTGCTCGAGCTGCCAATCCTTCCCCAGCGAAACGGAAGCTCTCTATCACAGGGCCGTTGTCTTGAGTATGTCTCGCCGTCTCATCTGATGCGCTCTCTCGCCCCATCTCCTCTTTCGCGCTTAGTCTCTCGTTCCTTTAGCACAGCCAATTAGGAAGGTGAGTGAGCCCTCAACCTGAGCGTTTTCGACGGATTCTTTTCCTTTTTTCTTCACTGCCGGCCCACTTGGCACCGATACATTCACATTCGTGTGCAAGAGCCACACCAGTGCGATCCTGGGGCATGCCTTTAATCCAATTGTAATTATCTTTTGAATGATGTTTTGGTAGAAGTGCTTCCCCGCTTACTGAATAGACTCCAGTTAGCGTGAACGTCGCATTACTTGAATTGAAAGTCTTGTTTGCTCGTTAAAAAAGCGCCTAGTCGTTTGAAAAAATAAAAACACAACATGCTTGGCATTTGGCCCTCGATGATAAATGTCGATTTCGCCTTGTAACTGGGCTCGGAGTTCGGATGATTCGAGTGGAGCATGGAGCCGCGCACCGAAGCGACGAAGGGGGCAGTGTGTTTGTTTGCTGCAGGAGGATTTTCAGCAGGACTAACATCCAAATTATGCGAGCAACTTACAAAAGCTACGGAAATCCTCAATAACGCTAGCTGGCTGTCCACGTTCACGGGTCACTTAAATTTGGTTCCTAGCATTTTTACCTATTCGTATTCGCTAGTATTAGCAGTTTAGGAATAAATATATTTTCATTTCAAGTTCACAGGTGCATCATTAAATTCCTAAACTAATCAGACCCACCACCGGTGTTAGCCTAAAATATGAATTTACTCACTCACATTCGCTTCAAAAACGGCCATCACTCAAACCGAGCACTCCCATATGAAAATTGAAGCATAGTTCAATCTATCAAAAAACTTTATAAAGGCCTTCACATCGACTCACAGAAGAATTTGCCGAAGGGACATGGTGTCGGATTTCAGCTCAACAAGGTCCCCGATAGATGATTCACCATTCTGACGTTATACGAGAACCCTTGAGGTCAATAGTAATGGTAGAGATGTCATAATCTGAAGACGGTGAGAGCAGCGAAAGAGGGCTCGAATCTACGTAATAAGGGAATATTCAGGGAATTACTTTGCCGGCTTTCATCGACCACGGCAGCTTGTGTTAGTTAAAGCTTGCTGATATCGTCATAAGCAAGGTGTTGCTATTTGTGTACCTGGAGGCCTGTCGCGCAGCACGAATGTAGTGTCGACGGGCACGTGATTGCGGATATAGAACGCAACAATGGCACCTTTTTTTTCAACTTAACGCGAAGTCACACACATACGCGCTGGACTCGAGTCCGCCGGACTACACTGCCTTCCTGCTCGCGCGACGGATCTCCTGACTCGATTGGCCCCGTCTTTTTTCCTGCATGGCCACACGGGCACCTAGCAGGCGTTTGCAAACACTGTGGCTTTGTCAGAGCAGTAGGGAAGACAAGAGCATTCAGTTGCATGTTGGGCGTACTTGACTTGCATGCCCAGCTGGTCCTCAGATGCCCTGCACTGCCAGGGGGATCTCTCGGGGTGTACAGCTTGGCATGATGTAGAGGAGGCGCATGCGGAGAGCCACGAACCATGGTTATTTGTCACCACGAGGAATCGAACTAGGGACCCCTTTTCTGGTATTCAGAGAGCCGTTCAGGAAAAATGAACCATGCTTCTGTGGTCCCCATATGTGCCCCAATGTCATGCAAGAAACCATTTTGAAAAAGCTTGGCGCCTTAGCAGAGCATAAAATAAAAGCATTTGCCGTTGATCAATCCCTTTTGGGATGCGGCACGCATTCTACTTCCATTTGTACATTCGTAGTGGCGTTTGAATGCGATGTGGCCTATACAATGACTTGCGGGGGCCAGCCGATGTACAAGTCAGTGTTTTTATCCTCCCAGACAAGTCTGGTACCAATTAACCGACCCCGGAGGGATGGAAGGCTTGGTTGGCCCGGGCGACTCACGACCCAGGATTTGATCCCGGACCGCTCGCGTGGTAGCGTCGCCACTTGCCGCTACACCACTTCCGCCCCCTGAAGACCTTTCGTCTCAAGTGCGATTTTTGCTTGAGCTTCGATCTTGGAAAGATAAAAGTCTGATTTCGCATATTACCTCGGGCTCTCGTTGCTATACCTTTTTCATTACACAAAATCTTGCAGAAGTTCAGGTAACTCGGGTCGTCACTGAATTTTAGCTATTATGAGGTAGAATGATTTTATGCAAAAAATCTTCGACTATGAACAGGTCTCCAAGGTTTTTTGGGCGGATCTGGGTACCGAGGGAAATATAAGTCCTTCTTCTTGCATAGCTTTGACCAATCGTCGATCGTCGCATTTATAGCCGTAAGGACAGCCCTTGGCATGCTGGACCTGCTTTGTAAATAGGCATACCCACCTTGACGTGCCTGAAAGGAACTGTGTTGAAACTGCCACCGGTCCTTCCAAAAGCTTTTCAACTTACGGTCTTCTGTAGTAACATATGACACCATAATATTTGTGAGCAGTAAAAAGATTGGTGTCATTCTCAAAACGGCACAGGTCTACGGCACAGCCGACTTTTGGCGTCAATGCATTCGCCATCTGAATTAAGGAGACACAAAAAATTGAATAAATTATGAGAAAGCATTATTCATGAGCCTTTTTAATTCACTTTGAAGCGATACAAGGCCAAGTTTATTCAGCACGCAATGTTGGCAGGAATGATACACTCACCCTTGAGTTATCTAAAGGCTCGCAGTTCAACCCTTAGGCCGCGTTCATAGTTCGCGACTCGGGAGATTAGGATAGTAGGCGATAGGATATTAGGATAGTAGTAGAGTAGGAGATTGCGCTGACAAGATTGGATACGTATCGATTGAAATCGCTGGAGAGTAGTAGATTGGGCGACTTCAAGCGAATAGATCAATACATATCTAATCTTGTCAGCGCACTATCCTACTCTACTACTATCCTAATCTACTACTATCCTAATCTCCCCGTCAATACATACCTTTTTCATTGTCGCGTACTATCCTAATCTCCGGAGTCGCGAACTATGAACGCGGCCTTAAACTGCAGCTTTCCATGAATAGACTATTCATGTGTTTTGTGTGGTAACTATCGGCGAGGGTGGTGATCGGGACGGGGGGGGGGGGGCAGGGAAATGAAGGGTGGTCGTATTAGGGCAGCCTCCTAAGTCTCATGGTGGTGGGGGGGGATCGCATTGAGACCCCCTAAAGGAAGTATCTGAAAACGTGCGAACGTCACGGTTGACCCAGGTTTGGCATGCACCGGAATGGGTGGAGTAATCCTCAAAGCATTATAGCTCGGTTCCAAGAAGTCTTAGGGAGCTGGGGAAAAGGTGGACAGAGGTCAGAGAAATAGAGGAGGCTAATGGTGGGCGTAGATGGCACAAAAGTGGGCTGAGTTTGCTGCCAAACTTATAACTTGGTTCTAAGAAGCCTTGGAAAACGGGAAAAACTGGATGGAGGTTGGCAAAGGAAGCGAGGTCAACTGC